AATTACCTAAACAATTATTTGAAAAAAGTATCTTCGAATCCCTGTCACACCAGACATGCTCGCCCTTTCAGCCGTGGGGGCGTTATAATGTGACGGTCAATCCCACTATTCGTTGGTAAAAGAGTAGCCCAAGAGTTGGCGGTGGGTGGTGATGACTAGCTGCCTTCCCTCTAGTCTTACACTGCTAAATTAGGGACGGCTAGCGCAGATAGCCCTCGTGTAGCTTTGCGCGAAATTCAAAACAAACAAACAATGAAAAAAAAAAGGTGCGGCCAAAAAAGGATTGAACGTGCGACTTAAAGGAAAGAAAGCAAAATTGGCGAACAAATTCGTAGCTACACTTATATCATTGACAAGAATTTTACAGAAAATATTCATTCATTAGTTAGCTATAGTGCGTATTTTGTTTTGCCCATCATCATATCCCAAGTTGAACACAAAACATGGTTAGTCCTTTAAGTTGCATATTCAGTGCTTTTTCGGCCGCACCTTTTTTCACACCTAAGGTGTTTTTAATTAAATAAACCGACAAACCACAGCAAATAAGAAAGTGACACTCGATAATAACTAACATTAGCTTTAGGAACGCTACCCTATTATTCGGAACTCAACTGTATTTTACAGAACCAACAAGATTTATTAAAATATATGGTAATAGTTTTCCTCTCTAAAACAGTGTTAATAACTTTCTTTATAGTAACACCATGGAATCTAGATTAATAGTTTTGTCATCTCCCGCATGCAGTGTAATTCTTTACACTAATTGCTTAAGCTAATATCACGTAACGCTAAACGCTCTTTAATTAGAAGAATTTCATAAAACTTAGCAAATCTGTGCTTAAAAGTTGGCAATTAATAATTACCGTCGAACTGTATAATGCTTTGGTAAACTTGAACTAGAAACTGCTAATCTGCTTTGCTTGGCCTAACTTATGTATCTGCACGTCCTTTCACCCTACCCCCCAGTGGCACAGCGGTATGTCTGCGGACTTCTAACGCTAGAAACCGGGTTTCGATACCCGTGGTGGGCAGAGCACAGATAGCTCATTGTGTAGCTTTGTGTTTAATTACAAACAAACCTTTTACCCTATAGTTTTGCTGCTCTAATTAAACCAGCCGTCTGTAATCCGAATGACAAAAAACTTTTGCTCTTAGGTGAAGCTGTTGTAAAGATTTTCGTCCATTAGTTCACGTGACTTTTTGCGTAGGCGTGCACAAAAATTTTGGTCAAATTTTAACGGTTTTTGTTGAAACACTTTGCACGTGTAGCTTATACTCAGACCAAATTTGAAACTTAATTGTACGTTGTAAAGATTTATCAGTGTACCAAATTTGAAAAAAAATCCATTAAAGTTAAGTATATTTTTCTATCAAATAACTTTTCCGTACTTTTGGTGCGAAGAAAAAAATGAAAACATTCAATCAAAATTGGATATTTTATATCTCGTGTATTTCTTAATGGATTGCCTTGAAACTTGGTTTGTGAAGTGAGGATCCAGTAGAACATATCCACTGAAAATATATAATAGTTTGAATTACCACATTCCGAGCTACAGAAAGTGGAAAATCGCTAAACTATTACTAAACTATTGATAACACACAGTGTGTTCTACATGTTGTTCATGGCCAGGTCGTTATGGAGCTCGACTCGCAATCTGCGGATCGCGGGTTCGAATCCCTGTCCCACCAAACATGCTCGCCCTTTCAGCCTTGAGGGCGTTATAATGTGACGGTCAATCCCACTATTCGTTGGTAAAAGAGTAACCCAAGAGTTGGCGGTGGGTGGTGATGATTAGCTGCCTTCCCTCTAGTCTTACGCTGCTAAACTAGAGACGGCTAACGCAGATAGCCCTCGTGTAGCTTTGCGCGAAATTCAGAAACAAGCATGTTATTTTGGCCGCACGACACACTTGTGTCTTGATAAATAAATTAGAGGTTTGATTGAGTGAAAGAATCGTGATGTTATCACAGAGTTATCTTATGTTGTACCATCTTGGCTGTTGAGGGGTCGTCCAATTTAAATTGTTTGTTTGTTGAATTTCGCGCAAAGCTACTCGAGAACTATATGCACTAGTCGTCCCATATTTTGAAATAAAAAAACTAGAGAGAGAAGACAGCTAATCAACATCATACACCGGCAACTCTCCAATGAGCTACTCTTGTTAGACCAAATAGTGGGAATTAACCGTCACTGTTATAATGCATCCACAGTTTTAAAGTGCAAAACGTATGTGTCCGCTTGCGTGCGTGCGTGTGTATTTTGACTGTAATTGGGAAGGGAACCACGGAACCTCAGATCCACAGTCCAACACGCTCGAATCGTTTGTTTGTTTGGGAGTAATCGTAAAATTACATAACAAGCTGTGCCCACCGCGGGAATCGGAACCTAATTTTTAGCGTTATAAGCCCACCAGCTTACAACTGAGCCGACGTGAGGATCTTTCGATGTCAGTTTCCTGGAATCAATCACACACAGCAAGCTGGATAGGGAATAAAATATCATTCGTACATTGTAGCGTGACCCACTTTTAGCTTATAGCGAGTTCTGTCACTTAATGAAATACATCCGAAAAGTAGAACTGAATGGCTGTGCGCTTCTAAATAACCTTTAAATCTGGCAGAAAGCCAATAAGTGTTGTTTCAACTAGAATTAAATTAGTAAACCTGATATATATGTGTTTGAACAAATAGGGTCCCGTTCTGAATACCGCTTAAGAACCCAAGTTATGTATCTAGGCCACTGCAGGTAGGTTGTTCCTGAAGGATGTCTGTCTTTCAGAAATGCCAGACTTCAGATGGAAATCTGTCTCAAATACTCTTCAATTTACAATGAAAGAATTTTGTTTGTTTAAACAACATTACAGTAAAAACAATCTGTGATGCAACGTCCATCGTGAATTTAACAAGGAAAGAGAAATAATTTGTAATTACCTAATTTTGTTCACTTAAAATTACACATAAAATGTTACTAAACAAAGCAAACAAGCGGAAATATGTTTCTTTAAAAAACAATCTCAAAACAAAAGTAAAGTTGTACCCATATGGTTGAGTATATTCTGGAGAAAAAAATAACTGTTTGATGCAAGAATTATTTTAACTAACGGCTGTGTTTAGTTCAAAACAGTATTGATTTATGACGTATATAAAATTTTTTATTGTGATTTATAGATATGCTACTGAAAAGTTTTGCATATGATATTGGCCTTTGTAAAAATTGATTAATTATAAGACCTAAATCACATCTAAGAGCTATCTATATGAGGTTCACCTTAAAAAAAGATACGTCAGATTTATAAGTTTTTACAGTACTAATCTGAAGTTATTTTTTGTGATAATAGAAATGATTTGATACAAACAAGCACAAATTTTTTTCTGAATTTTCTTGAGCACAGAGGAGAGATCTTACCTTAGTGTAGTCTCCGATGACAAAAGCTTGCTCTAAACCGCTGAATATTGTAATTGGAACAATTAGAATCTGATAAGGGTTTTTCAAATGACGAAACGTTGAAATTAGAAGTCCAAAAGACGGTCTTGCTTTCCCTTTTTTATCTTCATCCCCTTCTCTATGAAGGGGGTCTAAAAATGCAAATACAAACAGAGCAGAAAGAATTGAACATCCAGTGTAAATCCCACACAATGTGTACACTTTAGAGTCGGGGGGTCTCTCAAGGTTGGTATTATTGGACACTACTTTGTTTTCGTTACAGAAGTTTGCCCCGCATGTTTCGTAGATTGTTGGATCCAGTTCCAATGTGGCGTTCGCAGAATCAGTTTGAGGGCTGAGAACATGATAGGCGATCAAATTTCCCCAGATTTGACCAGACTGAAAGATCATGAAAAACACGCCAAAGAATCGAACCACCAAGTTGTCGACGGTTTGACCTGTAATAGCAGCATATTGGCCAGCAGTCTCTGTCAGATAGGCACATTTTGCCGTCCACAAAGGGGCACCCCCTAACCCCAAGATGATCGACGTCGGTATAAGAGTATACCAGTGGGCGTAGAAATTCGCTGCAAAATAAGTGCTGTACATGAGGATCGAGGCAATCAAGGTATACTTTAAGCCTATAAGCTTAATTATAAATGTTGGTACAAACATACAAGAAACAACCAAAGCTGCGTAAATTACGCTAAGGGACGCAGTGCCTAGGCCTTGCACACTATTTACGCTGCTTTGTAAGTTGGAAAGAGACTGGAAGGCAGTGAAAAGAAGAAGGAATCCAAAGCTGATAACAAGAAGGTTTTTTATTATCTTAATTTTTCTTTTACGTTTTTCACTGTCTTCTAGGTTTTGAAGATCACGATGTTCAATCTTTCTCACCTCAGCCTTTTGTTCTTTTTCCCTTACCGCTTCATTCGGGCCTTCGTCGGTGACACTATGAGTCTGATAAAAAAACGTGTTCACATTCCCTTCCTCGGGAAGACTGTCTTCTAGGCTTGTGATTCGTTTTAATTCCGCCATGATTCCTTTCCTCTTTTTTTTAATTAATTTATTTTGAACATAAATGTCGATGGTCTTTGGTGAATTTCAGAAAAACCTATCAGCATTCCTGGAATTGAATGAAATAAAAGTAATGAGATACTTATACATTTACTTCTCTGTAGATTAAATTAATGACATGTTTATTTTCAAGACATTTATATTTGTTTGGATCGTTAAAGTTTTAAACGAATTTGGTTGTTTGTTGTTAATCTCAAAGCTACACGGTGAGTTATCTGTGCTGCCACCACAGGGATCAAACCCCAAATTTTAGCGTTATAAGCCTTCGAGGTTACCACTAAATTCTCGGTGACATTTAAAATAACAGTTAATTTGCCGACATTGTAAATGTTGTGAAGATACAGTAACATATTTCGTCAGCAAATAGAAACACAGACGAGACTGGTTAATTTCATCACCACAGGATAAGGATATTTATTATTATTATTAAAAATATTGTACATCAAAGAAAAGACGATATAACATTAAATACTTAGGGCAGTCCCTAGATATATAAACGTTTTTCGTTTCTGTACTATATACCTATAATGTATTATGCTAGATTTTACGCCTAGCAATGAAAACAATTTTAAAGACAAACCGACTTTAAAAAATATGAAATGAGTAGCAAGATTGTAACTTAATAATTAGTTTTCATCATTAAAATATAAGTATTAGGTAATTGTTTGTTTGTTTATTTTGAATTTATGCACAAAGCTGCACAATGGGCTATATGTGCTCTGCCCACCACGGGTTT